TGTGGGATGATGTTTGGCAGCCAGAGGGGGAGTTTGTTGTGTGATGCAACCATATGCATTCACGTCTGTTTGCCTCCCATCATGTGTTTGTGCGTTGCATGCGTGGTGTGAGCGTGTGCAAGAAATTTGTGTCTTGTGTGGTTTGGATTTTCTGTGTGTGTGTGTGTGTGTGTATGTTATTTGGCTTGAGCAGATATCTGAAGTGTTTCCTCTACTCAAGAGCTTTCCGACAAACCAAGAATCGTCGCGATCGGAGCACAACCAAGAAAGTTACGAACATTGGAGTTCGTATGCTTATACATTTTGGTTGCAGCTACTTTGGGAAGTTGTGGCATTGACTCAATATGGGGTACAGACTTGTGGGGGTTGGGAAATTCGAACCCATCACTGTAGATGCTGCCAAGAGGTTGGGTGAAGCCAAACCAGGTTGGTAAGTGTGGCCAAGTTGTGGTGAGGTGGATGGCATGGGTTGGAAAGTGACAAAGGTCAAAGTTTGTTGCCTATGGGGAAGGAAATTGTGTGGCATGGGGTTTCCTTGGTTGGGGACTCTCTCTTGGGACCTTCCCTCTCGTCCTCCTTTTCTTTTCATATCAGGTTTAGTGCTACTCTAATGTTCTTTTGTGGGACTTGTGAGTTAATTGTGATTGAGTTAAATTTCTGTGGCAGCATACCCCCTAGTGCGCCAAAACGCATAACTCGAGATATTCTTCATATTTTGATACGATGTAAATTGGGAAATGTAGCCACGGTCTAGGGCTACAACATAGTCGAATTTCGTGAGATTCTAACGGTGCACTTTTTGTCGACAACGTTTCTTGTGAAGTCGACGTTTCTGTCCAGAATTCTAAGCCAACGATTTTGAGAATTTTAGGCACCTAATCTTCGTAGACTCCGTCCTTAGTCTCTAACAGCTTCCTGAACAATGGTTGCCAAAGTGGCACCTTCGCAACATCCACGGTCATTATGAAAAACTCTTTTCAAGATGTGTGAAAAATATTCCAAGTAGTTTAAAAAGTTTCCATTTATAAGACTTATAAGACACCCTAAACCATCCCAAATACAAGATAACCCAAGCATTTTTTCCAGTGTACAAGATAAGACATATATGTCTACTATTCGGGCGATGACGGTACCAGTAATTCCACTATAGCCCTTCTATTGGTCCACTAGTAACCCCCCCCCTCCGGTTGGGTCCAGGGCTAATTTTATCAATGTAAATCACCCTGATATACTGATAATCAGGGTGGTTTTTGGTTGTCACACTGATGCCTTAGGGTAATTTTTTATGGAGCTTAGGTTCTCCTGATATGCCAGGGTTTACACTTAAGGCACACTGTCGCCCCAGGGTTTCCATTCTTCTTAGTGAGTTTTACCGTGAAGCGAATACCAGACCCCCCCCCCCCCCCCCCCCCCTCACTAACCCCCCCTCAACTTGCCCTCGCATCTCTCTCCCCTTGAAGGCCAATATGAAGAAAACTTATGTTATTAGAAACTCACGTTGAAGTGTCCCGGTCAGTAGATTGGTCTTCGGTAGGATGAAGACCCGAGATTGAATCTTGTTACTGGTCTCTTTGTTCAGAACTATGGAAAACCCTGATGGATATTTTTTTTCCCACGGGGTCACATTGATAATCATGGTTTTGCAAAGATGTAGGACTGATGATAAGGGTTGCTTAAAACAAAAAATTAGCCTTGGTTGGGTCCAATCATTTTACAATAATCCCAATAATTCCAAAAAAATAAAGTGAGGCTTTATAAAATCGGCTCATCTTGGTCGCACAGAGTGAGGCAATAGAAGGTTGCTTGTGATTGGGTATGGGCTCAATCTGTAGAATAGTTTTTGAATCGCTACATAATTGACAGTAATGGTGCAAGGGAGTTCCTGAAAATTGGTCTGGTGAGCTCGAGGCGAAACAGGAAACCAGTTCGTAACCGTCGATAACCAGGGTATGCTGCATGATCGGCATCTATAAAACCGACAAGGCTGAATGTGCGGGTCGTGATTGTGGAGTAGGTGAGGCCAATGTGCGGCATCTATATAACCGCTCGCCCCCTGCCCTGCGCACCCTTGCTGCCCGCGAGGAGCCCCTACCCCGTGCGCCCCTGCTGCCCACGAGCAGCCCCTGCCCTGCGCGCCCCCTGCTGCCCGCGAGCAGCCCCTGCCCCGCGCGCCCCCTGCAGCCCGCGAGCAGCCCTTGCCCCGCGCGTCCCTGCTGCCCTCCAACAGCCCCTGCCCCGCCCGCCCCCTTCTGCCCACGAGCAGCCCCTGCCTCGCGCGCCCCTGCAACCCGCGAGCAACCTGCTGGCTGCGCGCAGCCCTTGCCCCAGCGCGCCCCGCAGCCCACAGCGCCAGCGCGCCCTGCTGCCCAGCGCGCCAGCGAGCCCCGCAGCCCACAGTGCCAGCGCGTCAGTGCGCCCTACAGCCCAACGCGCCCTGCCTCGCCCAGCCGCGCCGCCCAGCCCTACCGAGCCACGCCGCCCAGGCCGAGCCGCGCCGCCCAGGCCGAGCCGCGCTGCCCATCCCGAGCTGCACCGCCCTGCTTCATTTGCCAGCCCCACCGCGCTGCCTTGCTGATGCTATTGCTGTTGCTGGGAGTGCTGGAGGTGCTCAAGGTGCTGCCGGGAGTGTTGGAGGTGCTACTGGGAGTGCTGGAGGTGCTAGAGGTGCTGCCGGGAGTGCTGGAGGTGCGGCTACTGACTGTCACTGCCTGTCATGACCACTATCACGGTAGTCGCAGTGGCTAGCGGTGGACAGCAGCAGTCACTGCCTCTCCCGGACGACCCCACCCCCCTCAGCAGCTTTGTGAGTCGGTTATTCAGCAAGGCAGTCCTGGTGGTGGAGATTTTGGTTTTATGGGTACTGCATAGCGGCGGCAGCAGCGGCCGCGGGGCACCTTCTCCCTTCAGCAGCTTCGCGAATGTGCTTCTCAGCGATGCGTCCCTGGTTGTGTAGAGGCTGCTGTTCTAGGTGCTAGTGCGTCTGCTGCAGCTCTAGGTGCTCATGAGTCTGCCTCTGCTCTAGGTGCTAGTGCGTCTACAGCCACAGTCCTGCCTCAATTGAGGCCTTGCACACTTTCTCACTTGACTCAGGCGCGTCACGTTGCTTGCTTCGTGATTGCATCACAATCACACCACTCGGAGCACTTGTCCAAGTCTCACTAGCTGACCCTACTGGGGGCCCAGTAGTCGCGCGAGCCTGCACTGTCCTCCCGTGTCTGGCGGTCCCCTCTGGGTCTCTCTCAGGTCTCCACCTCCCGGCGTTCTCGACGAACTTGTTGAGCAACGCAGTTCTCCAGGATGTATGGGTTGATACCTTTATTCCTAGAGGACAGCGTGTGGCGATCTGTACGTGCTCACGGACTGGCCGTCAACTTGCTACATTTACTCGTCAGCTTGGGTCCGGTCTGTAGACACTGACCACTGAGTCTGCACAGGTGGCTGCATCAGGCCATGCGACTGCGTCGAGTCAAGTGTCTGTGTCTTGCTCGTGTCGGTTACTCTCCCACCAGACTCTTCTCTGCCACCACCGCCTCGGTCACCCCTCACTGCCGTGTCTCCGCAGCATGCACTCCCGTCTCCTTGTCTCTGGCCTTCCCAGGTACCTGCCCCCCCTCCCACGCTCGCATGCCCTGCCGTGCCTTCCTTGCGTCGAGGGGCGGCAGCGTGCCGCTCCTCACTCCTCCAAGTTTCCTGCGACCACTGCTCCTCCGCAGACTCTCCACGTGGACATGTGGGGCCCGGCCCCCCGTCAGTGGAACGGACCAGGAGCGCTACTCCCTGCTGGTTGTTGACGACTACACACGCTACACCACCGTCTTCCCCTTGCGGCGCAAGGCAGACAACAGCGCTGTTTTGATCCCCTGTATCCGTACTACTCGCCGCCAGCTGCGCAAGCGGCTTCGGCGGGACTTGCCAGTCCTACGTCTGCACTCTGACAGGGGCGCTGAGTTTTCTTCTGGCCTCCTTGAGGAGTTCTGTCAAGATGAGGGCATCCACCAGACGTTCACGCTTCTTGCCTATCCTCAGCAAAATGGGATTGCTGAGCGGTGCATTGGCTTGATCATGGAGGTTGCTTGTACCTACATGATCCATGCGGCTGCTCCCCATTTTCTGTGGCCATTTGCGGTCCAATACGCTGCGCATCAGCTCAACCTCTGGCCCCGTGTCTCTGAGCCAGAGACCTCGCCCACACTTTGGTGGAGAGAGAAGGTTGGCGATGCGTCGTTGTTTCGGGTCTGGGGCGCGCTCTCCCTTTTTCGCGATGCCAAAGCGAACAAGCTCTCCTCTCGCACTCTCCGCTGCGCCTTCCTTGGCTTCCCCACCGACGCCCCGCCATGACAGTTCTACCACCCGCGCTCGCGTCGAGTCTTTTCCTCCCAGGACGTCACCTTTGACGAGTCTGGCTGTTTGTATAGGCTACACCCGCACGCGTCCCACCCGGTCCCCCTAGCGCCTCTCTTCCTGGTACTAGTCCCCCCCCCCCCCGGTAAACCCCCTCCCCCCACAGAGTCCTGCTCCCTTACGTGTGTCTCAGGTAGACCCACCCCCCTTGGTCAAGCCTTCGGAGATCTCTTTTGACTCCTCTGGCCCAGTTGAGGGGGGTGATCCCGGCGCTGACGACACGGCGGCCACTCGCTGCTCTCCACGCTTGGAGACCCCCCCTGGTTTTCCGCCCCGGCCGTCTTCGCCGCCTCTGCAGCCTGCTGCTATGGACTCTGGAGCTGAGACTGCTGGCGCTGAGCCTAGGGGTGCTGAGACAAGAGGGTGAGGGCTCTGGGGGTGCTGCGACTGGGGGTGCTGCGAGTCCTAGTGGCGGTGGAGCTGTGGGTGACCCTGCTGGAGGTCCTGGAGCTGGACATCCACCGCAACCTGATCTACTTCAGACGCTCTCGCCGCAGGCGATTCGTGCGTGGATCGTTCGGCGAGGTAGTCCTAGTGGTAGAGGGTACGGTCCTGCTGGTGCTGGAGCTACTAGTCCTGGAGGTGCTATTGGTGCTGTGATGGAGGTACTAGAGGTGGTGCTTGTGCTAGAGGTACTAGAGCTGCTAGTCCTGGAGGTGCTGCTCGTCCTGGAGGTACCGGAGCTATCAGTCCTAGAGGTGCTACTGGTGCTGGAGGTGCTGGAGCTGGCACTCAAGGTGCTGGTGCTGCTGGTGTTGGAGGTGATGGAGGTCCTGCCGGTGCTGGAGGCGCTGGAGCTAGAGGTTCTGGAGGTACTGGAGCTGCTAGTCCTTGAGGTGCTCGTATTGGAGGTGCTGGAGCTGCCGGAGCTGGTGGTGCTACTGGTGCTGGAGGTACTGGAGGTGCTGCTGGAGGTATAGGAGGCGCTGGAGGTGCTAGAGCTGCTGGTCCTGGAGGTGCGCGTACTAGAGGTGCTGGAGTTGCCGGAGCAGGTGGTGCTGCTGGTGCTGGAGGTGCTGCTGGAGGTGCTGGCGCTGAAGGTGCTGGAGGTACTGCTGGTGCTAGAGGTGATGGCGCTGCCGGAGCTCGTGGTGCTGCTGGTGCTGGAGGTGCTACTGGAGCTGCTTGTGCTGGAGGTGGTAGTGCTGCTGGTGCTGGAGGAGCTCGAGCTGCTGGTACTGCCTCGCAACGACCGTTTTTCTACCCGCAGCCGCAGTCGTCCCTGCTGCTGCCGGATTTGGTCCTTCGCTAGGCTCTTAGTCTCCCGTCTTCCACTGGCCTCACTCCACTTCTCTTGTGTCCACCGATAGACTCCTCTCATCCATAGCTACTGCCTAGCTCCCCACTGCCTGCTCCTGCTCCTCACACTGAGGTGACTGAGTCCTTGACTGAGCGTCGTAAGCCTGAGACTCGTGCTTCCACACCTGTTTGTGCTCATCGTGTCGCCCGTCCTCGTCCTCCTACTGTCCTAGGCACTCACAGTATGGCAATTCGTCCTTCCTCTGTTCCACAGCACGTTGCCCTGCCTGAGCCTCCTGCGTCCTCTCTTCCGCATGTTCCTGACCCTGAGTCCAACCTTGCTTGTGCTGCAAGTCCTACTGTCACCCGTCTCCTCGCTACTGTCGTCACTGACCCTGACTTTGAGTCTACTGCTGCGTTTTCCCTAGTCACTCAGCTAGTCGACTTTGCAGCTCGAAGTCGTCTCGACTACGTCGCGAGTCTTGTTACTGAGTCAGAGTTTGTCTGTCCTCCGTCCGTCGGGGGTGAGCCCGCCCTTAGCAATGCCGTCCTTGAGGACATGCAATTTGAGCTTGAGTGTCTTGCGGCCGCTTTATCTCGTTTCGCATCCATGTTGCTTCGCCCTGAGGGAGACCCGGATGCACTTGACACCCCTACCTCGCGCTCTTACCTTGAGGCGATCTCGGGTGGCAGGCAGCCATGGACGCAGAGATGGCTTCTTGGAAGTCCACAGGCACCTACGTCGACGAGGTTCCTCCTTCTGGGGCGAACATAGTCGATGGCATGTGGATTTTCATGGTGAAGCGGCCGCCGGGTTCTCCGCCTGCCTTCAAGGCGCGTTACGTTGCTCGAGGCTTCAGACAGCGACAGGGGGTCGACTTCTTCGAGACCTTCTCCCCCACCCCGAAGATGACTACTCTTCGGGTGTTGCTGCATGTTGCAGCACAGCGTGACTACGAGCTGCACTCCCTTGACTTCTCCACTGCTTTGTTGCAGGGCAGCCTTCACGAAGAGATGTGGCTGCGCCATCCACATGGCTTCACTGGGTCGTTTCCTGCGGGTACACAGTGGAGCCTCCGGCAGCCAGTCAATCATTCCTGCACAGTTATTATGACAATCACATAACAGAAAGTACACCAACAGGCACTTACTCTGTGTAATGCGCGCCATAGCCGCCCTCAGGTGGAAGGTCACGTATACGCTCCTTAGCCATGAACCAGTAGAGCAGCACGAACATTGTGATTGGTGCCTCTTCCTTCCAGACGAAGAGCAAAATGTGCAGACAATGATTTATGTGATGCGTAGACGCATCCGTCGTCTGCCACCGCTAAAGCGTTACCTGCTTCGCCTTGGCCGCCTCCTCATCAGCCTCGACCTTTAGTGTCCTCTTGTGTGTTCTGTTGATTGTGTAGGTGGTTGTGGCATTTTTCTCTAGCTGGTTGTGGGCTAAGGGTTTGGGCAAAATGTGGTGGTTAGACTTGTTGCGGGCTGGAATTGATCTCGCACCCAACAAGCACCAACAAAGCTTTGCTATTCACTACAACACCATTGGTGTTGCTAATTTAGCACTTTGGGTTGTTGGGGATTGTTGTAGGGTGAGGGTTGGGTTGGTAGGGCTTGAACAAATCGTCACTTTGCAGATCTGAACTCTTGCTAAAGCTACTTTCTTGAACTAATCCATGGATGCCTAGTAATTCCGCCAGGATACCCTGTCGCTCATAAACCGCGATAGCGATCGGCCTGGATCTTGGTTGAAGGCGTGCTTTATCATTCTGGAAACTAGAGATTAAGATCTTTCCAACGCGTACCTGCTTATATTTATAGGTTAATTGAGCTGCACGCAATGGCTCGTCGAAGTCGGCGGACTTAATCTCTTGTTACGCTCTCCAGATTCGCACGCTTTCCATCATGTTCGAGTAGAGGCGTGAGCTCGGATGCTTTCAATCTGCAGGTCTCGCCCCCCTTCACCCCTCACACTGTTGTTTGTGTGTGTTTTTGGATTGCCAAATTTGACACACAGCGCACATTTGAACAAAGGCCTACCATTGGTCACGCAATGAAGAAGCAACCACTTAAATTTCCCAGACCACTCCGTTGTCGAAGCGATGCTTCATAACATCGTACTTAGCCTCCGCCGTTGTCTTTGCAGACCCTTCTTTGCAAGGAGCTACCATGCGTTGCGGTAATGCCTCCTTAGGGGGTGGTGGGGCGCCCCATAGCCTCTACTGCACGTACTTGACACTGACCCGCTGTCGTTTCACGGGATCGTTGTTTACAGTTGACGGTGTTGCCATGCTTGGCTTGGACGATCATTCCCCACCGTTAGGAAAAAGCAGGCGTGAGGGGTTTGGCTCAAGCGTAGTTGGTGAATTTTGTGGATCAAACGGGTACACTATGCCGACGTGCCGCATAGGAGAGGTTTTACGATGCACTTGGGCAACGGGATTGCTATAGTGTCAAGACAAATTGGGTAAGACACCGAGAATTTTCGGAATATTGCTTAGCATGCATGATTGAAAAATGCCTGCAAACACAACTCATCGAGGAGGAAAGACCCTCGCGCACAGGAACACAAGGCTGAACAACACGGGGTCTTCCTAAGATCCACCCCAAACACACTCGACTGGATTGATGCCCTAGAAGCGCGGCGCTTGCGTGGTTGTGAATTTGCACGCAGGATTGCAACGTGCAGTAGTGGACAGCACAACACGTTTCACGCCATTCATATGTTGGCTTGGCATGCTTCCAGGCACGGTTGGCAACAAGGCGGTTTTTATCAAATGCGGTGGCAGGTATCTTGGGTGCATTGGCAGGAATGATGCCAAAGCCACCAATGCGAGGATTTCGCATCATGACGGTGGTTATTTTTTACTCCCAACTAAGGAGGATAGAGATTACATGTGGGGGTCCGTAGCGTAACGTGGTAAATGCACACGGTTCTCGAGAAGATCCTTGTGAGAATATGAACGAGGAATGACTAGAAAGAGGGCAGTACAAGGTTTGTGTAGGCAAAACCTAACAATACTATACCCCATAAGGATTGCCCCAGTACAGCCTACAATATGGTTCTGACACACCCCCATAGGCAAAGAGGGGGACAAGCAAGAGAACAAGGCAAGGTCAAGCTCAGGGTGGATCACAACGTCACCACACATTCTGAGCACAAGTTCAAGGCCACAAGGCCAGTTCACAAGCAGGATTATAAATCAAGGTGAACAAGCAAGACATTGATCTCAACCTAGCAAGGGTAAGCATGCAAGTGCAGATATATATAGATCACAGTACAAGCAAAGTCAAGAGGTAAGCAAGTGAGGCCCGGTAGGCACAAGACCTAGCATAGTACAGAAACGCTGATGATCACAAGGCTGAAGTGCCTTGGTAAAGATATCAGCAGTGTTGACCCGAGAGGACACGTAAGCAAGACGAAGCTGACCACGCTTCTGCAACTCTCGAGCAAGGAAGTAGCGCAGAGCAATTTGCTTCGTTCTATGCTCTAGTCTGTGCTCCTGACACAAGGCCAGCATGGCCTTGTTGTCGACGTACAGAACTGGAGGAGAACGAGGCGCCTCTCCCAAGTCGATAAGCAGGTAGGTGAGCCAGCGTAACTCCTGTGCAGCCATGGCCCCAGCGTAGATCTCAGCCTCACAGCTGGAGCTGAGAACAGAGGACGAGCGGGTAGACCGTCACGAAACAGAGCCGGAACCAAGGCTGAAGGTGTAACCCTGTGACGACTGCTGCGTAGCCAAGTTGTCAACCCAAGAAGCGTCTACGTGACCAGTGAGGACAACTCGAGCCCGTCCTCCATGCACGAGCCCCATGCCCGACGTACTGCACAGGTAGCGCAACACCCTAGTAGCTGCAGCCATGTGCTCTGGTCGGTGTCTCCCAGGAGCAACATAGTGAGCCAAGATGCTAAGAGGGAATGCCAAGTTCGGTCGAGTGAAGCTCATCAGGTACATGAGGGAGCCAACAAGCTCTGGGTACAGGCCACTCGGCTCTACGGACTCATCCGAAGGCAGAGCTGAGAGCGTGTGGCGAGTAGATAGAGGAGTGGCCTGAGGCGAGGAGTACGTAAACTTGAAGCGCTGAAGGACCTGCTGCACCATGTGTGACTGAGTCAAGGTAAAGATGTGCCGTGCTCTGTCCCGGGTGATCTGCAAGCCAAGATACCTACGCAGCTCACCCAGGTCTGTGCACGTGTGTCTCTTCTGCAGCTCCGACTTCAAATGGGCCAGTCCAGCAGTGTCAGCAGTAGCAAAGACCAAGTCGTCGACGTACACGAGGATGTGGAACGGCGGCAGAGTAGTGTCGGTGCGGAGAAACAACGACGGGTCAGCAGTAGAAGGAGCAAACCCAAGAGCCGCAAGCGTAGTCCTTAGTGTGTTGCGCCACTCGCGGGGCGCCTGGCGGAGACCGTAGACTGGCTGCCGGAGGCTCCACTAGGTACCTGGAGGGAACGACCCAGTGAAGCCAAGTGGGCGGCATAGCCAGATCTCCTTGTGTAGGCTGCCTTGTAGGAAAGCAGTGCTAAAGTCAAGAGAGTGAAGCTCGTAGTCACACTGAGCAGCTACGTGCAGCAGAACCTGGAGAGTGGTCATCTTCGGGGTCGGGGAGAAGGTCTGAAAGAAGTCAACTCCCTATCGCTGTTTGAAGCCTCGAGCAACGTAACGCGCCTTGAAGACAGGCGGAGAGCCCGGCGGCCGCTTCACCCTGAAAATCCACATGCCACTGACGATGTTCGCCCCAGGTGGGGGAACCTCGTCGATGTAGGTGCCTGTGGACTTCCAGGATGCCATCTTTGCGTCCATGGCTGACTGCCACTAAGAGGAGTAGGGACCCTCTATTGCCTCTGCGTAAGAGCGCGGGGTCGGGATGTCTGGTACATCCGGGTCTTTTTCAGGTGCAATCAGCATAGACACGAGATAAGGTACAGCGGCTGCAAAGCACTCAAAGTCCTCCTGCCTGTCCTCCAGGACGTCCGTGCCAAGAGCAGACTCACCCCCGACGGACGGAGGACAGACAGAGGACAGACAGACTCAGCAACAAGACTCGCGGCGTAGTCTAGACGACATTGAGCAGCAAAGTCGACAAGCTCAGCAACTAAGGCAGACGCAGCAGTGGACTCAAAGGAAGGGTCAGTAACAACAGTGGCCAGGAGACGTGTGACAGTAGGACTAGCAGTACGAAGGGAGTCAGACTCCGGGTCAGAAAGGGCAGGAAGAGAGGACGCAGGAGGAGATGGCAGAGGGACACGCTGCGGAGTAGTGGAAGGGCGCAGAGCCATCCGATGCGTGCCAGGGACAGGAGGAGGACGCTGACGCGAACCAAGACAACTAGTGCTAGCAGCACGAACACGTGACGCAGGACGAGAAGCAGGCTCACGACGCTCAGCAAGACCTCCGGTTAGACCAGTGTAAGGAGAAGGAGCAGGCAGTGGGGAGGCGGGTTGCAACTGTGACTGCGATTGGACAGGCGGTGGACACTCTAAGAAAGGAGCAGGACCAGTAGAAGGTGGAAGACCAAGAACCTGCTAAAGGAGCGGAACGTAGTACGGCCGCGGCCGCACAGCGCCTCCAGAACCAGTAGGGACCGCGCCAGCACCCCCAGCGGGAGCTGGTCGAACGCCCGCCGGGGGTGAACGTCATGAAGAACCGGTGGGTGTTGACGACGAAGTACCACGTCGACGACACCGTCGAGCGTGAGAAGGCGAGGCTGGTCGTGAAGGGCTTCACACAGGTGTACGGCGCCGACTACGACGAGACGTTCGCGCCGGTGGGCAGCTACGTCACGCTGAGGATTTTCCTTAGCATCGTCGCCGTCCTCGACTTTAACCTGATGCAGCTCGACATGAAGAACGCTTTCCTGCAGAGCAAGCTCGATCGGGTGTTGTACATGTCCCAGCCGGACTACTTCAACGACGGAACCGGCCGGGTGTGCATGCTGCTGAAGAGCCTGTACGGGCTTAAGCAGTCGCCGCTGTTGTGGTACTTGGCGCTCAACGATGTGCTGGTCGGCGCCGGGTGGAAGAAGAGCCAGGTCGACGAGGCTCTTTACTTCAAGGTCGGCAAGGGTGGAGTGGCCTGCTGGGTGCTGGTCTACGTCGACGACCTGCTTGCCGCCAGCAG